CTTGACCGACTTCATGGGACTGAGAAATTATCTGGGTGGGCTAAATTGGGATGACCTGACTATGGGTCAAGTGGGTGGTGTTGCTTGCCAATAGGACGTATTTCAGAGCATAGTTCTAGCTGCCCAGACAACTTTTGTTCCAAGTAGGGAAATTATATCTAACAAAAATGATCCCAAATCAATAAACAATAGATTTAAACATCTCATTGGTCAAAAGAGAGGTATATGTAGGCGTGTCAAAAGAGGGGATGGACAGTTAAGAAATCAATATATTCAATTAAAGAGATAAAAAAAAAGGAATAAGAAAAGCAAAAAGGGATTAGAGGCTAAAGTCGCAAGAGATTCAAAGACTAACCCAAAAGTGTTCTTTCAGGTATACAGAGGTAAGATTAAGGACAAGACTGGCCCACTTAAGAGTAACTTAGGTCAGATCACTGACAGTGATAAGGAAAATGTGTGAACTTTTCAACACTTACTTTCTCTCAGTTTTTACTCAGAAGATACTAGCGAAATTCCAGAAATAATATATAATGTAGACAAGACGATAATAAAACTATGTACAACTGGGTTAACCTAGTGACATGGTTATTCAGACTATAAAGAAATTAAAACCTAACACATCCCCAGCCCTGATGAACTGTTTGCATGGTTTTAAAGGAATGTAAAGAGAAGAAACTAGCAAACCTTGGGTTAATCTTTTCAATATATCATACAAACTGGCATACCTATTTACAAGGGCCGGTGTACAGGTAAGTAAGTAAGTTTATTCGGTATACACAATTACAGTTACATAGGAATTATCATACATAGCAGCAATGTGTAGAGAACTAGGATAACCCAAAAAGTCAGACAGAGTGACTTATTTCCATTGGGGTCCTTTTACCTTATATTATAATATTAAAGGTAATAATATTTTCCTTATTATTCTACAATGAAGGTTAACATCTTAGATCATACTAAAAAGACTATTCTAATACACTGGGTCATTAAGACTATCTACAATACGAGGGTCTTACTAGGAATAAGGTAATTGTTCTACACGTATGTTAGCTAAAAAATAGAAAATCATTCCCCTCCCTTTCTGTAGCTCATTCATCAGACACCTTTTGGACTCTTCTTGAACTGTTCATGCTATGACTGACTTTGACAGTGCGGGCAGTCTGTTCCTTCCTTTATTGCTGTACATAAAGGTGTTTGAAAGATGGCCCACTGACTGTGGGTACTACAAAGTTGTGCTGTATCCCCCTGTTACTATGGATTTGCTTTGGTTCCCACCTGACAAAATTGACAGCAAGATATTCTGGACCTGTTTGTGAGCATTTTATAAACATGATTTAGCTTCAGTTGTTTTACTCTGTCTTCAACATTTCTGCATTATCCAACTGCTGTAATTCATTCCTGGCCTACTGTTCTTTGGTCCCTGCCCCCCCAGGGATGAATCTTTACGAGTTTGTTCTGGGTGATTTGCCGTCTATCTTTCAGTTTTTTTGTCAAGCTGAAGGTACCATGAGAGGCAAGCGTAATCCATATGGCATTGTATAAGGGCTAGACATAGGGTCCTGCGAGCCTCAGTAGGTAGACACTGGGCTTGGCTTTACAGGAACTTCAGTCCTGGCATTCGATTCTTTACTACACTGTCCCTATCATTTCTCTGACATGCATTGGGTCAAAGGGTATTCCCAAAATATTTTACTGATGAATACAAAGTGATGGGTCCCATTACACTGACATTTAAAATTAGTTCCCTTCTCAGTTTATGTTTCGATGCCAAAGAGAATGGCTTCAGTTTTCCCTAGGTGTAATGATAGTTGTTGTCTATAACCATTTGCTGCAGGACTCCAGTTCCAGTGTTAAAACATTAGCTTATATCTGTGGTGTCTTTACTGACGCTACAGGGCACTGTCATCTCGCATACAGTAGGAGTTTGCACTTGACACTGATCTGGAGTTTATCTGGAGAGAGTTCCGGGGGTCAACGCCCCCGCGGGCCGGTCTGTGACAGGCTCCTTAGGTCAGTGTCCCAGGATGCGCCCACACCAGTCGACTTAACACCAGGTACCCTTTTTATGATGGGGAACATAGGCCAAACAGGTGGAATGAAACAGTCAATGTTTCTACTCTGGCTGGGAATCGAACCCAGGCCCTCACGTGTTTGAGGCAGAGCGTCCTTTCTATTTTGTTTACATTTCTTTCGACTGCGAATAGAACATGTACAAACTTTTTTGATTGGCATATCATTGACTAAATAAGGAATAATAAGGGAACAGATACTACCTTGGGGAACTCCACATGTATCGGAGGGGTGCTGATTCCGTTTTGTGGAATTTTGACTATTTTTCCTGTGCTAAGTAGGACTTAAACCAGTCTACAGAACTTACGATAGCTTGAGTATTTTACATATTATTGTGGTTGACAGTTCGAAGGCCTTCTGAGGTTCAAGTTCCATACCTATTGAGGTTCCCTTTGTCATTTCATTTCTCAGGCAATCCATCAGATTAATAAGGAAGGTGTCGGTTGAGTAGGATCTTCTATAGCCGATTGATAGCTATGGAGAAGGCTGTTGTCATTTAAGTAAAGTACTTAAATACTGAGAATACACGCCCGCTCAGATTTTTAGATATTATACTGAGTAT